AACAAAAATACAACTGCGACAACCTTCGACATGGTATCAGTTTTTTTTCCTTCAATCCAACACATCTCCCCAACATCCTAGCTTTCACTTTCATTTTACAACCCCATCTGTAAATAGGCTGACTATGGTTACATCACTTAATCCTACGTAAGGCTTACCTTTACTTCTACAAATCCTAAACCGAGCCTCACTAACTGCATTTCGTAACCTACCACCTATTTCGTAGATGGGCAACATTTGTCATATTCCTCCCCTATCCACCCTACCATATGCCTTTTTTAAGTAGTATATAATTACAACAAAATGTTCCTTGCTTTTATCTTATTTTTGTTTACTCAAATGCTTCAACGTCATCACTTGCTCTACACATCTATCATCGCTGAAAACTTGTTCAGGAATCCTACTCTCTGTCAATTATAAGGAAATGGAAGCAAATATACATTAATCTAACACAGATTAACCAAACTTAACTTAACCTATCCTATCCTAATCAAACCAAACCTAACCTATCATAACTTAACATGACCTAACTGAGCCTAATCTACTTAACGTAAGATTGTCTAACCCAGCCTAACTTAAATTAACCTGACATGGTCTAACCTAAGCTAACCTAACCTAACCTAAGCTAACATGATCTAATCAAACATAACATGAAACATAACCTAACCAAACTTTACATGACATATCATCTAATTTAACCTAGCTTAAACTAACATGACTAAACGAGAATAAAATATATTAAACATATGCTGATGATATTTAGTGTGATCGACGTTGCCCTAGATTAAGAACAAGTGAAAGATTAGAAAACTAGATTTTCTGCCATATTGTCAGGGGTTCAGAGTGGCGGTGACCTGTTACATTTTCCTCATCCTCTTGACACTTTGAATGACCTGGTAACCTGGTCTATAACACTTGTTTATAGCAAAAACCGAGATTTTACAAATACCCTGATTAAGGAAACTGGAAAATCAGAGTTGATCCTAATCAATAAGTTCTCGTTCCAAATGCATTCATAACTTCAAATTCAAGTATGATACTAATTGCAGTTTCTTCTTTTTTTTCCGGCATTTTGTGTACCAGGAGCCACGAGGAAGAGTTGATAAGAGTAAGTCCGTACACCTAATTGATCATTACAGTTATCAGATTACCGCCAGCAGGACCCGTCGTGATTTTTAATCATTGGTAAGACAAGTGTGACGAATGGCGCTCATCAGAGCTGGAAGGGTAGATATTGTTATTGTTATTGTTGTTGTTGTTGTTGTTGTTCTTCTTCTTCTTCTTGCTCCTGCTGTTGTTGTTGTTGTTGTTGCTGCTGCTGCTGCTGCTGGTGTTGTTATTGTTGTTGTTGTTGTTGTTATGAATTATTGGCAGACACGGAAATGGTATCCGCTGTTTTTCTAAATCTGGAGGAAAAAAAATCTGTTTTCAATGCAGTAGTGGCGATTCACCAGGTATGTATGACACGGCCAATGACAGTGATTGTTTAACCACTGTCACACAACATTGGTACTTCAGCAGTTGTTTAACCACTGTCACACAACATTGGTGCTTCAGCAGTTGTTTAACCACTGTCACCCAACATTGGTACTTCAGCAGATGTTTAACCACTGTCACACAACATTGGCACTTCAGCAGTTGTTTAACCATTGTCACCCAACACTGGTACGTCAGCAGTTGTTTAACCACTGTCACCCAACACTGGTACGTCAGCAGTTGTTTAACCAATGTCACCCAACACTGGTACGTCAGCAGTTGTTTAACCACTGTCACCCAACACTGGTACTTCAGCAGTTGTTTAACCAATGTCACCCAACACTGGTACTTCAGCAGTTGTTTAACCACTGTCACCCAACACTGGTACTTCAGCAGTTGTTTAACCACTGTCACACAACAGTGGTACTTCGGCAGTTGTTTAACCACTGTCACACAACAGTGGTACTTCGGCAGTTGTTTAACCACTGTCACACAACACTGGTACTTCAGCAGTTGTTTAACCAATGTCACCCAACACTGGTACTTCAGCAGTTGTTTAACCACTGTCACCCAACACTGGTACGTCAGCAGTTGTTTAACCACTGTCACCCAACACTGGTACTTCAGCAGTTGTTTAACCACTGTCACCCAACAGTGGTACTTCAGCAGTTGTTTAGCCACTGTCACCCAACATTGGTACGTCAGCAGTTGTTTAACCACTGTCACACAACATTGGTACTTCAGCAGTTGTTTAAGCTACACAGTAGGCTTCTTCAGTCGAGTACAGTCCCAATCATCATTAAAAGCTCTATTTTCTTCCTTCAGCATTCTTTTAGTCTTTTTTGACATGATTGGTTAAGGACAAACAATATAAAAATACAAAATACAGAAATGGTCACGTTGTATAAGTATTCCGAATTTGTACTTGAAACGGATAGTCACATACTTGTATTAAAAGAGATAATAGACTGGCCACACATCCTCACCCTTCATCACGCACTTGCCTCTGGCTGGGTACTGTCGCATTAGGTCGGTTAGGACTAAATCATGAGGGTAACGTATTTTCAATAAAAATAAAAAGAATTTCTTATGAAAAATTCTGATTTATTCAGAAGGCCGCACTTACTGCCCTAAAAGGCCACAGGTTCCCCACCCCTGGTGTAGTTAGACTTTGTACAGCTGTTAGAGTATATATGATGTTTGCCAAGTTATTTGCAAGAAAAAAATCTAATCAAATGGTTAGTTATTAAATTATATACAGTTTAAAAACTGTAGTGTAAAGCACCCTTCTGGCAAGACAGTGATGGAGTGAATGATGGTGAAAGTTTTTCTTTTTCGGGCCACCCTGCCTTGGTGGGAATTGGCCAGTGTGATAATAAAATATATATACACTACGGTAACAAAATTAATTAAGTCCTCTGTTGATCTTTATGATTTTCTCTGCACTACTTATCTAGGCGCTCACCTGCTCTCTCTATATAATTTAGATTTTATTACATTATACTGCATAATTAGTAATGTGCAGGAATATAATCAGCATAACTATGATGTTTTTGAGACTATTTGTTTATGATTTTATTAGGGCATAGATTAGTAAATTAAACTGTGTGAGGTCTGATATACTGTAGTCTGGTGAGTGGAAGCAGGAGGAGGGATCACAGTGCAACCATCCACTAGTGTAAGTAGGTTTTCGTCCAAAGGTTGGACAGGTATCAAGATCCCATGAAGTTGCAGTGTCTGACACACGTGATAAATGATTTTCAAAACGGACAAGTTAAAGATTGAGACACTTATACAACATATGGGATCTACATTAACGAAACGTTTTTGCAACACAGTGGCTTCTTCAGTCCAATTCAAAGCTGAGAGGGGTAAGTAGAGGAGGAGTTTGATTACCTCAAACTCCTCCTCTCGACCAGCAAACTGACAGTGTATCATTTATGGGGACACTTTGCTGTGCTTATTGCCCAGTTCAATCCGCCAATCACGTTGAAGCTGGCTACTCCAGCCAAGGTGACGTCACACCAGCCCACGTGGTTGAGTGGTAGACTTCCTCAGACACTTGTCGTGACCACTCAATCCTTGAGTGGCTCTTGGTTACACTGTAACATACTCTGATATCTCATATACCACCATTACACATATTTCAAATAAGTAGTGAAGACATACATGGGTAAATATATCTACCCACTGCTGTGTTTGCCTTACCTTTGCTCTGCCCTGTTGATTGCTTGTTTGAAGACTTAGTTTTGCGACCAGGTGCTACAGGCCTTTAGTGTTTGTAATAGTGTACATAATTGACGTTGAATAATATGTTTTTAATATTTGTCCGGACAGTCTTCACACGGGTCTTAATCTTTCGACTGCCAGTGTAAACAACGACAGTTAAAGCAGGTGTAACATATGTTCGTTAATCCTGTGTAGTAACCTGTGAAACACCATCCTCTCAGGTGTTTACACAAAATTTCCTCCAACTAGAGCAATCAATTGATGGATGGATAATTATTTATATACTTTTACTAGAGGATGTTGGACATGTAAATGTTTACAGTTGTGAGGTGGCGAGATGCCATACCAGTTAGTGTTTAACATTGTTTCCTCCTGTTACTAGGCACTACACACAGTTTAACATTGCTTCCTCCTGTTACTAGGCACTACACACAGTTTAACATTGCTTCCTCCTGTTACTAGGCACTACACACAGTTTAACATTGCTTCCTCCTGTTACTAGGCACTTCACACAGTTTAACATTGCTTCTTCCTGTTACTAGGCACTACACACAGTTTAACATTGCTTCCTCCTGTTACTAGGCACTACACACAGTTTAACATTGCTTCTTCCTGTTACTAGGCACTACACACAGTTTAACATTGCTTCTTCCTGTTACTAGGCACTACACACAGTTTAACATTGCTTCTTCCTGTTACTAGGCACTTCACACAGTTTAACACTGCTTCTTCCTGTTACTAGGCACTACACACAGTTTAACATTGCTTCCTCTTGTTACTAGGCACTACACACAGTTTAACATTGCTTCTTCCTGTTACTAGACACTTCACACAGTTTAACATTGCTTCCTCTTGTTACTAGGCACTACACACAGTTTAACATTGCTTCTTCCTGTTACTAGGCACTACACACAGTTTAACATTGCTTCTTCCTGTTACTAGGCACTACACACAGTTTAACATTGCTTCTTCCTGTTACTAGGCACTACACACAGTTTAACATTGCTTCCTCTTGTTACTAGGCACTACACACAGTTTAACATTGCTTCTTCCTGTTACTAGACACTTCACACAGTTTAACATTGCTTCCTCCTGTTACTAGACACTACACACAGTTTAACATTGCTTCCTCCTGTTACTAGGCACTACACACAGTTTAACATTGCTTCCTCCTGTTACTAGACACTACACACAGTTTAACATTGCTTCCTCCTGTTACTCATGTGTTCTGCTTATATGTCTTTGTTGCATACTCTTTTTGTACAAACAATGGCACAACAATGGGACTTTAACCTCGTCCTGTACGTAGTCTTGCTGGAACAAATTTCTTCCTTGAACTGCTGTTGCAGTTTTCGAACATTAGTGTTGGTATAGAAATTAAACATCAATTGAGAATTTATCGTTTTTGTAATTTTTTTATGTCCATATCTTTCACTTTCTTCATTATGTTATAAGATGACATCAGTACTGCACAAAACTAATCTGGAGTCCTCTTCCAGCAGTTGTGAAGTAAATGTTCCAGCACGGATGATGGGAAGCAACAAGTCTGTGTTGGGACTAGTGGTGGTGGTGGTGACACTGGTGGTGACACTGGTGGTGACACTGGTGGTGGTAGAACCAGAGACCGGTCACTTTACTACTACGGTCACCAACAATTCTCGCCATAGACGATGGTCGGAGCATCCACACGCACGCCTTACCACTGTCAGTATATATTTTTTTGTCTTATTAAAATTATATACAGCACATTGTGCAGGTATTCATAATTTAGTGGTAGCTCAGTGGGTTTAAAAACAGCGAGATGAGCCTCATGCACTATGACCTTACTCTCACTATTTTCAACAGCACATCACAAGAAAATTGTGGAAATTATGAGAATAAAATCGTGCAGACACATACCATAACAAACATCTTACAAATACATAATTAAAAATAACACAATATTTGTATTAAATTCATAAAAGCAAGGAAAGCTGACACATATGTGTGTATCGCAAGGCAACTACAGGGAAGCGGGAACGACGTTGCTCCGGGCGCATTTCATGTTAAGAAAACAACTCTTCAACTAATCTTCATAACAATGCAGTGAGGAAATCGAAATGCCGGAGAGCCCCAAGCAGCTGTGCCTGCTGACGCTTGTCGCTGACCAGTCAAGTTCTTGGTTAACCTGTTGTGCAAGTAAAACTGGCAGTAGAGCTGGCATTCTTGAAATTGCTTGTGATTGCAAAGGGAAAAAGCCTAGCTGTGAGAGCAGCCATTCTGTCTCACTGCTCAGCGGGGAAGGGGGGATGAGGAGCCTCCAATAATACTTGCGCCGAAGTAACAGCACTTCGATCAAGTTTAAACTGGGACAGCGTTTTTATCTAAGATCTTTATCAAGTAGTACAGGAAACACAAAAGGCAGGAAGAAACGAGTGAAGGAAAAGGCGGAATGAGGGAAATCATTGGAACGTCACAAATCTTGGGTGAGTAGAGTACTGGTAAATGGTGATTTGGGGCCAGCACGTTTGCGCCTAACCTTATTGCCAAGAATGTCCCTGTAACATGTGAACCAGTGATCTAACTAGGCTGAATGCACATTGGTTCTGTTAAATAGTTTTCAGTGCACTAATTATAACACCTCCCAAACATCTGTCTCTGTTCATTTCTTTCATGACTAGTTTAGCGTCTTCCCTTGCCATAAAGTGTAGATATTTATTCCAAGTTGAAAAAAAAAACATCAACAAATTCCTCTTTGACACATGCTGGATCCTTAAAGGGTCAGCAGGTGACAGACCCACACTGCGCTATTCTGAGAAAACTTCCCTTCACTCCTTCAGCTGCAGCCTTGCAACATTGCACAGCTGCTGATGACGCACTGAGAAGTGTGAAGGTACTTGAGCTACAGATTTGCACCCGTGGCTTGTCTTGCATATATATATATATATATATATATATATATATATATATATATATATATATATATATATATATATATATATATATACATACGTGTGTGTGTGTGTATACTCACCTAATTGTGGTTGCAGGGCTCGAGACTCAGCTCCTGACCCCGCCTCTTCACTGATTGCTACTAGGTCCTCTCTCTGCTTCCTGAGCTTTGTCATACCTCGTCTTAAAGCTATGTGTGTGTGTGTGTGTGTGTGTGTGTGTGTGTGGTTGCAAGCCTCACTTACAGCCAAGCTTGGGGGCCTGGGAGTACGCAGATCCTCCCAGATTGCCTTATCATCTTTCCTTTCCTCTTCCATAACATCAAACGAATTAATAAAAATTATTCTCGATAACTTCAGTGACTCAGCAGGAATTCAGGTCCCTAGCTACGCCAGTGCCATCACTGAATGGGAGACTCTCGCTGACCCATCATCAAAACCTATTGCAGTCAAGTTGGGATGGTCCCATCTCTGAAAAGGTACTTGCCAACATGCTTAGGGATGAAACATCGGACAGGGAGACTGCCTGTCTCCAAGCTGTGAGTGTACATCACTCTGGGGACTTCCTCCAAACAGTTCCCATTTCGGCAATGGGAACACGCCTCGACCCTAAGACTCTCCGTTTTACATTGCCTCTCCACATCGCTGCCCCAATTCACACGGATTATACGTGTATTTGCGGCGGTGCACAAGCCGACCAATATGGTATATATGGTCTTAATTGCTCCAAAACCAAGGGTTGGCAAGCAAGACTCAATGAAGTCATCGACATCATAAAGAGAAACCTTGCTACAGCTGGATGCCCAGCCGAGAGAGAGCGCCGATCACTAGCAGCCAACAATACTCACAACCCAGCAAACTACCCTGATGGTATCGCCATCTGTCCTTGGAAGAATGGCAAGCTCTTAGCATGGAACTATACTAGCCTGTCGATACTAGCTGACACCTACATCCGTCACAGTGTCGGGCGACAGGGAGGAGCTGCTGATCACAGGGAGGAATACAAGATCGGCAAGTACAGAGACATATGCCAGAAGTATCAGTTTGTCCCTGTGAGATGAGAGACCTTGGGATGATGGAAAAAGAAACGCCACACGTTTCCTTAAAGAACTGGGATCTAGACTCATCGACACCACCAGGGACCCAAGTGTGGTCATCGAGAAGGAAAATGCTTGATGCATACTTGGCTCGCATCCCACTTTGGAGGAGCTGGAGGAGATTCATAATCTTTGATATAATGTATCAATATATTCATGTTTGTACTTTTTGTCATTGTATTCTGTCTATAAATAAAGTTCATATAGAATATAGGGGGTGGTAGGAGAAGAAAATATTTAAACAGCTTCGGGGAGAACCTTGAGTTTTCCCTGAGGTACGTTTATTCTCTTCCTTGAGGATGAGGATCCCCAGTACGGTTCTGGAGGTGGTACCTCCCTATAATTTGAAATATATATATATATATATATATATATATATATATATATATATATATATATATATATATATATATATATACATATGCAAAACAACCACTGTGAAAGAATGGAGAAATTCCAAGCATTTTCGTGACTACTCACATTATCATGTGAGTAGTCACGAAAGCACTTGGAATTTCTCTATTCTTTCACAGTGGTTGTTTTGTATATATATATATATATATATATATATATATATATATATATATATATATTATATATATATATATATATATATATATATATATATTGTGTGTGTGTGTGTGTGTGTATGTGTGTGTGTGTGTGATATACTGGTTTACTTGGGTACAGCCGGAGTTGATCAGAGGTCGCGGGTACCCGGCCGAGGTACATCAGGTGGTCACAAGAGACGGGTATGTTCTTGAGCTGCACCGCATACCTCACGGGCGCGCCGCCCCTTCTGTCCCGCCCAACACACACGCTGATGGAGAGTGGTGGGCCCCACACACTGTATACAACGTCAGCAGCAACACGCCACAAGGTAGGTAGGTTGATGAGTCCTCCTACTGAAGTCTATTATTATTATTATTATTATTATTATTATTATTATTATTATTATTATTATTTTAATTTTTAATGTTTTTATTCGTATTATATTATTCTTTTATTATTATTTTTATTGTATTATTATTTTTAATATTTTTATTTTATATTTTGTATTATTATATTATTATTTTATTATTATTATTATTAGAATTTTTAACATTTTTAGTTGTATTATTTGTATTAATATTATTATTTGTTTTATTGTTTTTATTATTACTGTTATTATAAATTGTTTTTACTATTGTTTTTATTATTATTATTATTATGATTCACGAAATCGTAGTGACACGATTGTAAACAAACCATACCACGGGCGGGGCTTGAACCCGCGGTCAGAGAGTCGTAAAACTCCGACGCCTTAGCCACTGAGCCAGACGGCTGCAATAAGATTCATCCAACTAGATTTATTTGTACACCACAGGAAGGTTAGCATAGGCACCACTATGACCACAAATGCCAGTGGATAGCAGACGAGGGGACATGAGCTAGAGTTCGTCACGGCTACGCTGACGGGAGATTCGTCTGTAAAAACTTGCATATGGTGTATAAATGTTGTGCATAAATATGAATCTTATTATAGTTAGTTGGCCCAGTGGCTAAGGCGTCGGTCTGGTGTTTTACAACTCTCTGATTGCGGGTTCAAGCCCAACCCGTGGTATGGTATTATTACATTAAATATATAAGCATTAAACCCGTATGTGTGACACAGGAGAGTTGACTTAAGAAGTGTTCACTTGAATGAACACCATACAATTTTTTTTCAGTGGAAAGCACTAAACCCGGGCGCGTCAGGTTGCGTCTGGGAAATGGAAGATAAATTGATCCATGGTGGGTCCAACTCCCTGGATTTAGAACATAATATGTGAGTGAGAACATTTCTTGGATGTGGACAGTCAAGACGGTGTTGCTAAGTGCACCTCACTAACACCTCAGCAAAACTAGGTAACACTTCAGGAACACCTCAACAACACTTAGCAAAACATAAAAGCATAAGAAAGGAGCACTGCAGCAGGCCTACTAGTCCATGCTAGGCACCCACATCCATTCACGTACTTTTCTAAACTATTTTTAGAGCTACACAAAGTTTTAGATTTAATGACGCTACTCGGCAGTTTGTTCCACTCATCCACAACACTACTACCAAACCAGTGCTTTAATATATCCTATCTTAATCTATTTTTTTCCACTTTAAACTCATTGCTGCGAGTACTGTCTTGGTTAGATATTTTTAACATGTTATTTACATCCCTTTTATTTATCCCTGTTTTCCATTTATACACCCCAGTTATATTCCTGCTAATTCTGCGCCTTCTAGAGAGTACAGATTCAGGGTCTTCACTCTATCCTCATAGGAAAGGTTTCTGATTCGTGGAATCAACTTTGTCATCCTTCTCTGTACGTTTTCCAGCCCATTCTGTAATACGCTGACCAGAACTGTGCAGCATAATCTAAATGATGCATAACCAACGAAATACAGAGTTGAAGAATAACTTGAGGACTCCTCTTATTTATGTTTCTTGCTTTGAAGCCAAGAATTCTATTTGCTTTCTTGTGAACACTTATATCTTGGTTTTAGATTACTGCTAACCAGAACTCCTAAATCTTTCTCACTCTCAGAGTAAGATCTACATTATTTAGTTTATATTCGTCATGATTATTTTCTTTAAAAGGGCTTAGTACTTTGCATTTGTCTATATTAAACAGGATCTGCCACTTCTCCGACCACTACATCAGTCATTTGAGTATTATTCCGACGGCCTGCTTCGGTGTCATCGGCAAACTTGCTTATGTCGTCATTTATTCCCTCATCTATGTCGTTTATGTATACTGTGAACACCAAAAGACCCAACACTGACCCCTGTGGAACACCGCTCGTCACACGCACCACTCGGATTTCTCCCCATTTATGCAAACTCTGTTGCCAGTTTGTCAACCACGCCTCTTTCCAGGAAAAAATTACTCCTCTTCCGTGAGCCTCTACTTTCCTCAACACTCTCTGATGTGGAACTCTATCAAAGTCTTACTGAATTCCATATACACAAAATCATATTCATTACCATGATCTACCTTCTCCAATACCTTAGGAAAAAAAAGCTAGTAAATTCGTAAGGCAGGAACAGAACTTTATAAGATCGTTCTGAGATTCATTGATCAATTTGTCTTTCAAGATTGCTTCAAATAGTCCTCGGCAATCACTGGTTCTATCAAGTTTCCCATAATGGAGGATACTAATTGGTCTAAAATTCGAAGGTTTGTAGACAGGTATCACATTTTCCATTTTCCACTTGTGCAGCACTATGCCAGTGTGTAGTGATATGTTGAAAAGACTAGCTAATTGTATACTAAGTTCCTCCTTACATTCCTTTAAACCCCTTGCGAACAGTTTATCAGGGCCCCGAGATTTATTAGGTTTTAATCTATCTGTCTGTCCTAGAACCATGTCACTAGTGACTTTCCTCATGCACAACTTATTTTCATCCCTATCTACATATTTTTTATTTCTGGAATTTATTTAGTACATTTCTTCATAAAAACTGAGAGGAAATAAGTGTTGATGTTCGTACACGTTTCCATATCACTGACGGTACACTGACCTGAGACACTTTTAAGTAGGCCTATGTCCACAATGTTCTATATACCTGAAAGAACCCTTTTGGGTTACTCCTCGAATCCCCTGCGGCTTAAACTTCATAATCTTCTCTTTTGATCTTTTCTTGCTCCTTTTCCTATTTCTCTTTTTAATTGAATATACTGATTTCTTAAGTGTCCCTTTTCTCTTTTGATTCGCCTGTAGAAGCTCCTCTTTTGACCTAAGAGATGTTTTAATTTATTATTCATTTAAGATGTTTTTTTCTTTATTGTAATTTACCCATTTGGAAAATAATTAATCTGGGAGGAGTGAACTGCGCTTTGAAAAATGTCTTATTATCAACCATCATCACCTACCAGACCACAGAATAAGGGCAGTCAGACCACACCAGTTGAACCAGACCACAGAATAAGGACAGTCAGACCACACCAGTTGAACCAGACCACAGAATAAGGACAGTCAGACCACACCAGTTGAACCAGACCACAGAATAAGGACAGTCAGACCACACCAGTTGAACCAGACCACAGAATAAGGACCAGTCAGACCACACCAGTTCAACCAGACCACAGAATAAGGACAGTCAGACCACACCAGTTGAACCAGACCACAGGATAAGGACCAGTCAGACCACAGCAGTTCAACCAGACCACAGAATAAGGACCAGTCAGACCACACCAGTTGAACCAGACCACAGAATAAGAACAGTCAGACCACACCAGTTGAACCAGACCACAGAATAAGGACCAGTCAGACCACACCAGTTGAACCAGACCACAGAATAAGGACCGGTCAGACCACACCAGTTCAACCCACTCAGGTAATTTCTCAGTCCTGTGAAATCGGCCAAGCAAAAGTCAGGAACACTGACTTGCTTGTAGATACTAAGGTAATTCCAAGATATATTGTTGCAACATCTTAGCAACTTTCAGCATTCTGCAACACCTCAGCAACATTCAGCAACACCTCAGCAAAACTCAGCAACACTTTAGCAACAAGAGCAACACCTGAACAACTGTCAGCAACACTCAACACCCAGCAACACAAACTAACACTCAGTAACACGTCGTCAGCAATCAGTAACACCTCAGCAACAATCAGTAACACTTCAACAACAATTAATGTCACTTCAACAACAATCAAGTCGACAACCATTTTTTAATTTAATTCACAGGGTGGTCAGGGTATTAGGGGTGAGGGTGGGCAAGGTATTAGGGGTGAGGGTGGGCAAGGTATTAGGGGTGAGGGTGGGCAAGGTATTAGGGGTGAGGGTGGGCAAGGTATTAGGGGTGAGGGTGGTCAAGGTATTAGGGGCGAGGGTGGGCAAGGTATTAGGGGTGAGGGTGGTAAGGGTATTAGGGGTGAGGGTGGGAAAGGTATTAGGGGTGAGGGTGGGCAAGGTATTAGGGGTGAGGGTGGGCAAGGTATTAGGGGTGAGGGTGGGCAATGAAGGTACTAGGGGTGAGTGTGGTCAAGGTATTAGGGGTGAGGGTGGGCAAGGTATTAGAGGCGAGGGTGAGCAATGTAGGTATTAGGGGTGAGTGTGGTCAAGGTATGAGGGGTGAGGGTGAACAATGAAGGTATTAGGGGTGAGTGTGGTCAAGGTATGAGGGGTGAGGGTGAACAATGAAGGTATTAGGGGTGAGGGTGATCAAGGTATTAGGGGAGAGGGTGGGCAAGGTATTAGGGGTGAGGGTGGGCAAGGTATTAGAGGCGAGGGTGAGCAATGTAGGTATTAGGGGTGAGTGTGGTCAAGGTATGACGGGTGAGGGTGGACAATGAAGGTATTAGGGGTGAGGGTGGTCAAGGTATTAGGGGTGAGGGTGGACAATGATGTATTAGGGGTGAGAGTAGTCAAGGTATTAGGGGTGAGGGTGGGCAAGGTATTAGGGTTGAGGGTGGGCAGGGTATTAGGGCTGAGGGTGATCAAAGTATTAGGGCTGAGGGTGATCAAGGTATTAGGGCTGATAGTGGGCAAGGTATTAGGGCTGAGATTGGGAAAGGTATTAGGGGTGAGGGTGGGCAAGGTATTAGGGCTGAGGGTGATCAAGGTATTATGGCTGAGGGTGGGCAAGGCATTAGGGCTGAGGATGATAAAGGTATTAGGGCTGAGGGTGGGAACGTATTAGGGCTGACGGTGGGCAAGGTATTAGGGGTGAGGGTGGGCAAGGTATTACGGGTGAGGGTGGGCAAGGTATTAAGGGAGAGGGTGGTCAAGGTATTAGGGGTGAGGGTGGGCAAGGTATTAGGGGTGAGGGTGGTCAAAGTATTAGGGGTGAGGATGGTCAAGGTATTAGGGGTGAGGGGGGCAAGGTAATAGGGGTAAGGGTGGTCAAGGTATTAGGGGTGAGGGTGGTCAAGGTATTAGAAGTGAGGGTGGTCAAGGTATTAGGGGTGAGGGTGGTCAAGGTATTAGGGGTGAGGGTGGTCAAGGTATTAAAGGTGAGGGTGGTCAAGGTATTAGAGGTAAGGGTGGTCAAGGTATTAGGGGTAAGGGTGGGCAAGGTATTAGGGGTGAGGGTGGTCAGGGTATTAGGGGAGGGTGGTCAGGGTATTAGGGGTGAGGGTGGTCAAGGTATTAGGGGCGAGGGTGGTCATAGTATTAAGGGTGAGGGGGGTCAAGGTATTAGGGATTAGGGTGGTCAAGGTATTAGGGGTGAGGGTGATCAAAGTATTAGGGGTGAGGGTGGTCAGGGTATTAGGTGTGAGGGGCGCAATGAAGGTATTAGGGGTGAGGGTAGTGAAGGTATTAGGGGTGAGGGTGGGCAAGGTATTAGGGATGAGGGCGGGCAATGAGGGTATTAGGGGTGAGTGTGGTCAAGGTATGAGAGGTGAGGGTGAACAATGAAGGTATTAGGAGAGAGGGTGGTCAAGGTATTAGGGGTGAGGGTGGGCAAGGTATTAGAGGTGAGGGTGAGCAATGTAAGTATTAGGGTGAGTGGGTAAATGTATGAAGGGTGAGGGTTGAACAATGAAGGTATTAGGGGTGAGGGTGGACAATGAAGGTATTAGGGGTGAGGGTGGTCAATGTATTGGGGGTGAGGGTGGGCAATGAAGTATAAGGGGTGAGAGTGGTAAAGGGTTTTAGGGGTGAGGGTGGTAAGGTATTAGGGGTGAGGTGGGCAAGGTATTAGGGCTGAGGGTGATCAAAGTATTAGGGCTGAGGGTGATCAAGGTATTAGGGCTGAGGGTGGGCAAGGTATTAGGGCTGAGGGTGGGCAAGGTATTAGAGCTGAGGGTGATCAAGGTATTAGGGCTGAGGGTGGGCAAGGTATTAGGACTGAGGGTGGGCAAGGTATTAGGGCTAATGGTGATGAAGGTATTAGGACTGAGGATGGGCAAGGTATTAGGGCTGAGGGTGGGCAAGGCATTAGGGTGAGGGTGGTCAAGGTATTAGGGTGAGAGTGGGCAAGGTACTTGGGCTGAGGGTGGCCAAGGTATTAGGGCTGAGGGTGGGCAAGGTATTAGGGCTGAGGGTGGGAAAGGTATTAGGGCTAAGGGTGATCAAGGTATTAGGGCTGAGGATGGGCAAGGTATTAGGGCTGAGGGTGGGTAAGGTATTAGGGCTGAGGGTGGGCAAGGTATTAGGGCTGAGGGTGGACAACGTATTAGGGCTGAGGGAGGGCAAGGTATTAGGGCTGAGGGTGGGCAAGGTATTAGGGCTGAGGGTGATCAAGGTATTAGGGCTGATGGTGATCAAGGTATTAGGGCTGAGGGTGGGCAAGGTATTAGGGCTGAAGGTGGCCAAGGTATTAGGGCTGAGGGTGGGCAAGGTATTAGGGCTGAGGGTGATCAAGGTATTAGGGCTGAGTGTAGGCAAGGTATTAGGGCTGAGGATGATCAAGGTATTAGGAGTGAGGGTGGGAAAGGTATTAGAGACGAGGGTGGGCAAGGTATTAGGGGTGAGGGTGGTCAAGGTATTAGGGCTGAGGGAAGGCAAGGTATTAGGTCTGAGTGTGGGCAAGGTGTTTGGGCTGAGGGTGGGCAAGGTATTAAAGCTAAGGGTGATAAAGGTATTAGGACTGAGGTGATCAAGGTAGGCTGAAGGTGGGGCAAGGTTTAGGCTTAGGGTGGGCAAGGTATTAGGGCTAGGGTGATCAAGGTATTAGGGGTGGGGTGAATCAAGGTATTAGGCTGAGGGGTGGGCAGGTATTAGGGGTGAGAGTGATCAAGGTATTAGGGGTGAGGGGGGGCCCAAGGTAACAGGGTGGGGGTGGGTCAAGGTATTAGGGGGGGAGGGTGGGCAAAGTATTAGGGGTGAGGCTGGGCAAGTATTAGGGTGAGGGTGGTCGAGATATTAGGGTTGAGGGTGGGCAAGACATTAGGGTGATGGTGATCAAGGATTAGAGGTGAGGGTGGTCAAGGTATTAGGGGTGAGGGTGGGCAAGGTATTAGGGGTGATGTGGCATGTATTAAGATTTTAGGTGGTCAAGGTATTGGGGGTGAGGGTGGTCAAGGAAATTAGGGGTGAGGGTGGTCAAGGTATTAAGGGTGAGGGTGGTCAAGGTATTAAAAGTGAGGGTGGCCAAGGTATTAGGGCTGAGGGTGGGCAAGGTATTAGGGCTAAAGGTGATCAAGGTATTAGGGCAGAGGGTGGGCAAGGTATTAGGACTGAGGGTGGGCAATGTATTAGGGCTAAGGGTGATCAAGGTATTAGGACTGAGGGTGAACAAGGTATTAGGGCTGAGGGTGGGCAAGGCATTAGGGGTGAGAGTGGTCAAGGTATTAGGGGTGAGGGTGGGCAAGGTACTTGGGCTGAGGGTGGCCAAGGTATTAGGGGTGAGGGTGGGCAAGGTATTAGGGCTGAGGGTGGGCAAGGTATTAGGGCTAAGGGTGATCAAGGTATTAGGGCTGAGGATGGGCAAGGTATTAGGGCTGAGGGTGGGTAAGGTATTAGGGCTGAGGGTGGGCAAGGTATTAGGGCTGAGGGTGGGCAACGTATTAGGGCTGAGGGAGGGCAAGGTATTAGGGCTGAGGGTGGGCAAGGTATTAGGGCTGAGGGTGATCAAGGTATTAGGGCTGATGGTGATCAAGGTATTACTGCTGAGGGTGGGCAAGGTATTAGGGCTGAGGGTGGCCAAGGAATTAGGGCTGAGGGTGGGCAAGGTATTAGGGCTGAGGGTGATCAAGGTATTAGGGCTGAGGGTAGGCAAGGTATTAGGGCTGAGGATGATCAAGGTATTAGGGGTGAGGGTGGGCAAGGTATTAGAGGCGAGGGTGGGCAAGGTATTAGGGGTGAGGGTGGGCAGGGTATTAGGGCTGAGGGAGGGCAAGGTATTAGGGCTGAGGGTGAGCAAGGTGTTAGGGCTGAGGGTGGGCAAGGTATTAGGGCTAAGGGTGATCAAGGTATTAGGACTGAGGGTGATCAAGGTATTAGGGCTGAGGGTGGGCAAGGCATTAGGGGTGAGGGTGGTCAAGGTATTAGGGGTGAGGGTGGGCAAGGTAATAGGGCTGAGGGTGGCCAAGGTATTAGGGCTGAGGGTGATCAAGGTATTAGGGCTGAGGTTAGGCAAGGTATTAGGGCTGAGGATGATCAAGGTATTAGGGGTGAGGTTGGGCAAGGTATTAGAGGCGAGGGTGGGCAAGGTATTAGGGGTGAGGGTGGGCAGGGTATTAGGGCTGAGGGAGGGCAAGGTATTAGGGCTGAGGGTGGGCAAGGTGTTAGGGCTGAGGGTGGGCAAGGTATTAGGGCTAAGGGTGATCAAGGTATTAGGACTGAAAGTGATCAAGGTATTAGGGCTGAGGGTGGGCAAGGCATTAGGGGTGAGGGTGGTCAAGGTATTAGGGGTGAGGGTGGGCAAGGTACTTGGGCTGAGGGTGGCCAAGGTATTAGGGCTGAGGGTGGGCAAGGTATTAGGGCTGAGGGTGTGCAAGGTATTAGGGCTAAGGGTGATCAAGGTATTAGGGCCGAGGGGTGGGCAAGGTATTAGGGCTGAGGGTGATCAAAGTATTAGGGGTGAGGGTGATCAACGTATTAGGGGTGAGGGTGGGCTAGGTATTAGGGGTGAGGGTGGGCAAGGTATTAGGGGTGAGGGTGGTCAAGGTATTAGCGGTGAGGGTGATCAAGGTATTAGGGGTGAGGGTGGGCAAGGTATTAGGGGTGAGGGTGGGCAAGGTATTAGGGGTGAGGGTGGGCAAGGTATTACCGGTGAGGGTGATCAAGGTATTAGGGGTGAGGGGGGCAAGGTATTAGGGGTGAGGGTGGACAAGGTATTAGGGGTTAGGGTGGGCAAGGTATTACGGGTGAGGGTGGACAAGGTATTAGGGGTGAGGGTGGGCAAGGTATTAGGGGTGAGGGTGGACAAGGTATTAGGGGTGAGGGTGTTCAAGGTCTGCACCAGGCCTAGTGCAGAGCTCACTGTCTATCGTCATTAAGACTTCCCTTCTTTTTTTTTTTTTTTTTTTTTTTTTTTTAAATCTAATTAAGTCTTTGGCTGTAGAAAATTTCAACTCTGTAAAACTGAGATCCACATATTACATGTACCCTTCGCCCTGGTGTAGAGGTCACTGTCTATCAAACTCTGAGACTCCTTCCTCTTCGAAGGGAATTGTATGACCTCGGTGTCCTCCCATGTCAGCTCCTCCCATAGGGCTTCTAACTCTCTCTCCGCCCATGAGGACTGTTGAGCTCATGGATGAAGCTCACGTGTCAGTGACTCACTGAAAGAGATTAAGATTCCTTTTACTTGAGGGTGTGTGGTCGTCATACCCAGGCACGTTCCACTAGTTCCTGCCCTCTCTACTTCCATTACAACTGCTACGGAGAACAAGAAAATGATTTAATCATATGACAAAATTGGAAGGATTACTTCTTTAGTTTTCTGTCTCATGGCTTTCTTTCTTGGTTTCCTATAAGCATTGCATATCATAAATAAATCATATATACCACTGATGCTAGTAATTATTGTGTTATATTTACAGACTTAGCACAGGAGAGCGGCGAGTGGTCTTCCTCCTACACGGTATTCTCTTGTCCAGCGCTGACTATGTCATGAATGATCCTGACCAGGCATTAGGTGAGTATCTACGTATTCATCTAATTATTGCCTAATTGGATTATATTTGGATTTAGATTTTTTAGATTTAAATTATTGCGCACCCCATATCTATGCCGTGGAGGGTAGCGCAAGAGTATATGGATACACAAAAGACCTAGGAACTAGACCCAAAAGGGTTAACAGAAGTACATCTGGATTTATATCTACAGTTCACTTATCTGTTACAAACTTAGGAAATCTGCTTAATATATCTGGCATCTTATTTTCATTAATAAGATATCTTGATATGTCATATCATATACTATCTCTATATTCCTCAATAAGTGGACAAATAAACACATAGTATTCATGATAGTGGCCATAGTTCTGGTCAGATACTTTACATTTTGTTTAATCATCATCATCGTGTCTGCCAAACTGACAGAAGTATTTGCAACAGTCTGGTAGACACACAGATGATGATCAATACAAACTATGTGACCAGACCTAATTGTGTGCGTATTTCTCTTTCTTTTTATGTTTGGATTTGTGTTATTTTGGGTGTAGCCAAAAATTAATTTTTCTCGTACAAGTATGGTTGCTTCAAGGCCGTTCTCACGGTTCGGTTCCAAACCAGGCCTGCTGGTTGATAGTCTGATCAACCACGCTGTGAATGCTAGCTGCACACAGTCAGTCATCGGTACCACAGCCTGGTGGATCAGGAAATGACCTGAGAAATCAAATTTCCTTCTGAAGACAGCCAGATGTCTGTTGATAATTACCCTTTGGTATAGAGAGTGGATGTTGAAAAGTCTTGGTCCCTTTACACTTACTGAGTTATCTCTAAGTGCATATTCATTACACACCTGTTTCTTAGTGGTGTCATCAATGTTAGAGGTTGGTAATAGTTTTCTGTTACTTAAGGGTTTCATTTTTTTATCTGTCGACTATAATGATCACGTTATAAGAGATGACTTTACATGTGATTTTTTAATTGACTAAAAGTTATTAACTTCTTTCATTAATATTCCAAGATGTAATTAATTGTCTAGCAGCCGTGAAGCCTCGTGTGATGTCAACACTGATGTAGTTATATTTATAAAGATTAGTTATTACTGTTAATTGTTATGATTGTTGTAAGTGATAATAATTATAATCATTGTAATAATTATTAATTGTTACGTTTGAATTCAGTGGTAATATTTATACATAAGATATTACTATGAATTATTTACGATTCTTAAGATTCTTATTAGTAGTAATGTTTATTAAAATAGGTATTATTTATAGTAATACCTCCATTAATGGAGGTATTACTGTAATGGAGTATTACTTATAGTATTACCTCCAATAATGGAGGTATAACTATAATGGAGGTATTACTATAATAGAGGTATTACTATAATAGAGGTATTACTATAATAGAGGTATAACTATAATAGAGGTATAACTATAATAGAGGTATAACTATAATAGAGGTATAACTATAATAGAGGTATAACTATAATAGAGGTATAACTATAATAGAGGTATAACTATAATAGAGGTATAACTTACAGTAATACCTCCAATAATAAAGATAAGTAATAATTTTTATTATTGGAGGTATTGCTATACGAAAGAATTATTATCAAAGACAATGTAATGGGAGGTATTTATTACTATAAGTTTTTAAAGATTACCAGTGTTAATGTTTGTTAATGAGAGGTATTGTTAACAATGTTGTGAGTGGTGCCAGTGTTAATGTTTGTTAATGGGAGGTATTGTTAACAATGTTGTGAGTGGTGCCAGTGTATTGTTAACAATGTTGTGAGTGGTGCCAGTGTTAATGTTTGTTAATGAGAGGTATTGTTAACAATGTTGTGAGTGGTGCCAGTGTTAATGTTTGTTAATGGGAGGTATTGTTAACAATGTTGTGAGTGGTGCCAGTGTTAATGTTTCTTAATGGGAGGTATTGTTAACAATGTTGTGAGTGGTGCCAGTGTTAATGTTTGTTAATGAGAGGTATTGTTAACAATGTTGTGAGTGGTGCCAGTGTTTAATGTTTGTTAATGGGAGGAAATTGTTAACAATGTTGTGAGTGGTGCCAGTGTTAATGTTTGTTAATGGGAGGTATTGTTAAACAATGTTGTGAGTGGTGCCAGTGTTAATGTTTGTTTAATGGGAGGTATTGTTAACAATGTTGTGAGTGGTGCCAGTGTTAATGTTTGTTTAATGGGAGGTATTGTTAACAATGTTTGTGAGTGGTGCCAGTGTTAATGTTTGTTAATGGGAGGTATTGTTGACAATGTTGTGAGTGGTGCCAGTGTTAATGTTTGTTTAATGGGATGGTATTGTTAACAATGTTGTGAGTGGTGCCAGTGTTAATGTTTGTTAATGTGAGGTATTGTTAACAATGTTGTGAGTGGTGCCAGTGTTAATGTTTGTTAATGGGATGTATTGTTAACAATGTTGTGAGTAGTGCCAGTGTTAATGTTTGTTAATGGGAGGTATTGTTAACAATGTTGTGAGTGGTGCCAGTGTTAATGTTTGTTAATGGGAGGTATTGTTAACAATGTTGTGAGTGGTGCCAGTGTTAATGTTTGTTAATGGGAGGTATTGTTAACAATGTTGTGAGTGGTGCCAGTGTTAATGTTTGTTAATGGGAGGTATTGTTGATAATGTTGTGAGTGGTGCCAGTGTTAATGTTTGTTAATGTGAGGTATTGTTAACAATGTTGTGAGTGGTGCCAGTGTTAATGTTTGCTAATGGGAGGTATTGTTAACAATGTTGTGAGTGGTGCCAGTGTTAATGTTTGTTAATGGGAGGTATTGTTAACAATGTTGTGAGTGGTGCCAGTGTTTAATATTTGTTAAGGGAGGTATTGTTTAACAATGTTTGTGAGTGGTGCCAGTGTTAATGTTTGTTAATGGGAGGTATTGTTAACAATGTTGTGAGTGGTGCCAGTGTTAATGTTTGTTAATGGGAGGTATTGTTGATAATGTTGTGAGTGGTGCCAGTGTTAATGTTTGTTAATGGGAGGTATTGTTAACAATGTTGTGAGTGGTGTCAGTGTTAATGTTTGTTAATGGGAGGTATTGTTAACAATGTTGTGAGTGGTGCCAGTGTTAATGTTTTGTTAATGGGAGGTATTGTTAACAATGTTTGTGAGTGGTGCCAGTGTTAATGTTTGTTAATGGGAGGTATTGTTAACAATGTTGTGAGTGGTGCCAGTGTTAATGTTTGTTAATGGGAGGTATTGTTAACAATGTTGTGAGTGGTGCCAGTGTTAATGTTTGTTAATGGGAGGTATTTTTAACAATGTTGTGAGTGGTGCCAGTGTTAATGTTTGTTAATGGGAGTAATTGTTGATAATGTTGTGAGTGGTGCCAGTGTTAATGTTTGTTTAATGTGAGGTATTGTTAACAATGTTGTGAGTGGTGCCAGTGTTAATGTTTGTTAATGGGAGGTATTGTTAACAATGTTGTGAGTGGTGCCAGTGTAATGTTTGTTAATGGGAGGTATTGTTAACAATGTTGTGAGTGGTGCCAGTGTTAATGTTTGTTAATGGGAGGTATTGTTAACAATGTTGTGAGTGGTGCCAGTGTTAATGTTTGTTAATGGGAGGTATTGTTAACAATGTTGTGAGTGGTGCCAGTGTTAATGTTTGTTAATGGGAGGTATTGTTGATAATGTTGTGAGTGGTGCCAGTGTTAATGTTTGTTAATGGGAGGTATTGTTAACAATGTTGTGAGTGGTGCCAGTGTTAATGTTTGTTAATGGGAGGTATTGTTAACAATGTTGTGAGTGGTGCCAGTGTTAATGTTTGTTAATGGGAGGTATTGTTAACAATGTTGTGAGTGGTGCCAGTGTTAATGTTTGTTAATGGGAGGTATTGTTAACAATGTTGTGAGTGGTGCCAGTGTTAATGTTTGTTAATGGGAGGTATTACTGATATTGTTAATGTTTGTTATCGGGCCTTCTGGACTAAAAATTAACACCTCCTGACGAAGGGTTCATACTGGCTGACGCTGGCTACGACGTCTGGCTCGGCAACAACAGAGGCAACTTCTACAGTCGACGCCACGTCCGGCTCTCACCCGAACAGCTGGAGTTTTGGGACTACAGGTAAGCAGAGGGTATCCAGAGTTATGGAAAATTCAGGAGTGTTCAGAGCTAATAAGACATTAGATGGTAACGTGCGTTCAGCGTTATAAGGACTTCAGGAGCTTCAGATAATGGCAGATGCTCAGGGTTACATGAGACTTCAGTAACTAGCAGATGCTCAGAGTTATGGAACTTAAGGAGTGTTCGGAATTATAGGGATTTCAGAAGTGTTTTTAGCTACTAAGAACTTCATGTGGTAAAAAAAATCGGAGTAATGGGGTAATGGGGATGTCTGAAGTTTTCAGAGTTATTGAGATTTCAGGTAACTGGCAAGTTGTTAGTTATGGGGGTACAGGGGGGTTCAGAGTTATGGGGACTGTAGGTGAGTAACAAGCGTTCCCAGGTATGGGAACTTCAGAATAGTTAATAGGTAACCCACTTTTTGATACACTGTCTCACACAGAGGTACGGTGGCCCAAAAAAGAAGAAACACGTTCAGAATCATTCATTCAATCACTGTCTTGTCAAAGCAAGCTGGCATCCCAATTCACATAACTCTCCAAACTGCTGTATCCCGCCCCTCCTTCAGAGAGCAGGCACTGTACTCTCCACCTCCAGGACTCAAGTCCGGCTAACTGGCTTCCCTGAACCCTTTCATAAATGTTACCTTATTCACACTCTAACAGCACATCAAAATATTAAAAACTACTTGCCTACCCTCCAATCTAACACGTTCACAGAAGCCTGGTGGACGCCCAGGAGGGGCCTGGTGGACGCCCAGGAGGGGCCTGGTGGACGCCCAGGAGGTGCCTGGTGGACGCCCAGGAGGTGCCTGGTTGACGCCCAGGAGGGGCCTGGTGGACGCTTCATATTTATACACATATCTAATCCTATTTTGTTCCATCCTTTCTAAATGTCCGATCTAACTTAATAATCAATCCTCTGAATAATACTTTTGGTAACCACACTTCCCAGCCACTAAACTACGAATTCTCTGCATAATATTCATACCACACATTGCCTTCAGACACATCTCCACGGCCTTCAGCCTCCTCGCTGCAACGTTTAAAACCCATACTTCACACACACACATAAGATTGTTGGTACTGCTGTTCTCTTGGTGCATTCCCCTTTTTGCCTTTTTGTTCCCATAGATACCTCAATGCATCATCTAATAACTTCCCTCTTTTGTTTTTAACTGTTAAATTTACTTGTTCCCTAGACTTTCTGATCTCACTGATCTAACTTCAAAACAAATACTTATTCTCAGGAAAATTTGTTAATAAACCCTCACCCACTCTCTCAGTAGCTCTCTGTTTACACTTCACGACCAGTCTTTTATCCTCTCTTTTATTTTCCTTATATCACTTCTATTTGTAAAAAAAATCTCCAATATGCTTTTTCTTCCTCTTCTACCCCTCGCTCCGCTCTCCTCCTGTACCCATCCTTCTATACCCTCCAACTTCTGCTGTTCACTCTAACACTACATTCTTAAATCTTTCCCATACATCATCGACCGCTTCAATACTTGTACTCTCACTAGCTCATCTTTCTCCCAATAAATGTGTATTTCTTACCTTCACTATCTCCACTAATTTATAAACTTTCACTTCAGATCCCTGATGACATTCTCCTTATGCACCCATGTTCCTCTTACTCTTACTGTAGCTGCCAATAAATAATGATATGATACATCTTTCGTCCTTCAAAACTTGCACGTCCAGAAGTCTACCCATCAGTCTTTTATCCACTCATACATAGTCCCACAAACTGCTGTTATTATGTCCTAAATCATATCTCGTGTACTTATTTATCCTCTTTTTCTTAAAATAGGTATTACCTGTTAACAATCCTCTAAACTTACTTACTACTCCCTCTATAACTGTTCCTCTCATTTTAGCATTTAGGTCCCCCACAGAAATCACTTTCTACTTGGTTTATAACTCCCTAAATATTCATTTAACAATTCCGAATCTCTCTCTCTCTCTCTCTCTCCTCTCTCTCTCTCTCTCTCTCTCTCTCTCTCTCTCTCTCTCTCTCTCTCTCTCTCTCTCTCTCTCTCTCTCTTTCTCTCTGTCTCTCTCTCTCTCTCTCATCCAGGTGCATAAACACTTAACGTAACCCATTTTTCACACCCGACCCTTGAAATAATCCACAAAATTATTGAATTTATACATTTCTATGCCATCTTTTTTTCTATAAATGATTATTTAATATTACCATGACTCCTTCCTTAGCTCTAATTCTCTCAGGTACACCCACCCTAATCCACTGAAATTCTTCCAGCCTCTTGCTTGGAGCATGACATCCAGCTTCTTTTTCATTCATAACATTTACAATCAATTCTTTCATCATTCGTACTGTACTAACTCACATATAACCATCCCAAATTAAAAATTTTCTTCTTCATTTTAATACTGTATATACAGGAGGAGTCACTAGCCGTTTGCTCCCGCCATTTCAGTCACCTTTTACGACACTCATGGTTTACGGAGGATGGACTCATGTCCATTTACCTATGGAGATGAAATGAAATAATACAAGAATAAAAACTATTATGAAAGCAGAAGAAAACTCAGATGGGTGTGTATACACACACATATACATGCATAATTGCATGTGTAGTATGAACTAAGTTTAAGTAGTAACAGTAATAGTAAGATATATCTATCATCTTACGTGCTTGAGACAGAAAGAAAAGACCCGTACGCGTTATTAATTGTGAAAATTGGTGGAGGATAGAGTTTCTGGCCGTTAATCATGACAGACAAGACACCAGTTTATGATCACTGCTTCCAGTAGACTTCAAGAAGTATTGAGAGATTATCAGAAACACCTGCCCTGAAGTGGGAGCCTAACTCTAGGAGCACTGAAGTATGTAATGTTGACTGAGGTAAAGGTAAATAAGTATCTGAAATAGCTGACTGATGGTCAAGAAATAAAACCGGGTAGAATCTTGCTTGGATGCTGATGGAAGGAGCAGAAACTCTAAGCAAGACATTTGTGATGATCAGTAATATCACCCTGGAGACAGGAGTGATACTGGAAAGCTACTAAACAGTACATGTAATGTCAATATTCAATGTAGAGGGCAGGCAGCGGAAATATGCTCGAGGCTTCCTGAAGAGTTTGGGTTTACCATAAACCAACAGTACGAGTTCAAAAAAAACGATATTAAGCCTCATCCATCGACCCGAGTTATATGAGAGGATGATGAATAAAACATTAAATGGAAGAGCAGATTGCATATTCCTGGACTGTAGGAAGGCCTTCGACCTTGTGCTGCACAAGCAACTAATAAGCGGTGTGCCCTAAGGATCAGTTTTCGATCAGTACCTCTCGTTTTATATGCACATCAACGAACTGTCTTTAAAGACTGGTTCCTATTCATCAGATTCGTGGATGATGTGAAGGTCTTGGAAAGACTAGATGCAAAAGAGGTTTGCAAGAAGTTAGGTTAAGTTAGGTAAGATTAATCGGGAATAAGACAAATGCTGCTCGACACGGATTTTAGTTATATAATGACCCGTCACGGCAACTTTCAATTATTTATGTGAGGTCTTCCACTGCCTTACCGGACCGAGCCTTTAGAAGTTAATATTAATAATATCAATTGACGTTTGTTCAGGAGATGGACGGTAAAGATTCAGCTCTGAGAAGTGTAAGATAATGAAGACAGGTGAACGAGGAAGGAGACTAGTAGATTCAGAAGGAAAAAAAATGAGTGAAGTATATACTTAACACAGAATCTGTCGTCAGAAGTTTACATAAATATAATAGCCTCGTTGGCATCTGTAATGACGTCGTACATATAAAACGTTGTGCAAAATAACAGAGAACTTCTTGATAAAAATTATGCATCTTCTATGCAAGGCGAGTACTGAAGTACACAGGACCTTCATGAAACACATCTCAAGTACATAAATTGTTCCTGATGATCCAGAGATTTACAACCTGGTTACTATTACCGATAAATTACATGAACTATAACGCCATGTTTAATTAATAAAAATTCACAGCACTGGGAGAAAGGTTGTCAAGAGAGGACATAATCACGACATAAAAAATAATGAGCGGTATCAGCACTGTGGATATCAACACCCAAATGAGCCCCAAAAGTTATAAGAAGGAATTTTTTCACTATAAAGGTAGTAAAAATAAAAAAAAATTTCGAGGAGTAGTGGAAGTAAGTTTCATAAATAAAATTAAGTATTATTACAATAAAATACATTAGGTGAGGTAAGACTCATTAGAAAATAAGATCTATGTTTCCTTAAGCTGGTCTTGGTCATATTATGACCCACCACTGTAGCTTTTCCTCATCTGACCGAGGTCTTCCCCTGACTTACTGGTCCACCGCTTCATAAATTATTTTTTTTAAATTACCTGAGACTGGTAAGGTTTCACACTAGTCAATTGAAACTCAGTGGCTACACTACTGTCCCCATCCACACATAAATTAGTAAATGAAGGTTAATTATTGTGAATTCCCAACCTCGAGATGAATATGAGAAGACTAAATTAACTTGTTTTCACTTCAACGTTTAATTATTAGAAAGAGAGGTCGTCCTTTCGTGCATGCCACTTGACACAACTTCAACTCTCAAGGTCGTCAAATGGCCTTTACCAGCTACACCCTCATATAGGAAACACTTTTACAGTGTGAGAAATACTGTAGTTGAGACGAATGCTTCTTGCATGCAGAATAGTTTACAGGAAGATCCTGAAACCAAGTGAAAGGAAGTAGAACCAGAGGTAAAAATTTCAATCACGAAACCTAATAATTATAATCCCACATGCTGAATTTTTGGTATAAATAAAAAAGAAAGTAGAGACGAGTGAAAGAGGATAATTATCTTAAATACTAATGAATGCTGTCATCACCCTCTCTCATTTACTGGAAGAAGGACAAGACAAAGGAAATAAAGTAGCAACAGAAATAAGAATCACAGGAGGATTTGTGCTCGAGCAGGAAAACTCAATATGAGTTACATTGAACATTAAAAAAACCATACCACAGG